GAGAGAGAGAGAGAGAGAGAGAGAGAAAGAAAGAAAGAAAGAAAGAAAGAAAGAAAGAAAGAAAGAAAGAAAGAAAGAAAGAAAGAAAGAAAAAAGACAGACTGAGTGGAGGATACAGTTCAGTATTAGAGTACTCGTCTGGTAATCTAGTAAGACTAGATTCACCACCCAGTACTGTTGACAAACATGTATGTGCTTCTTTAGGGAAACAGTAAAAAAGGATATCCAGCACTAGAGAGAAAGCTCAGTTGGCACAGTGCTTGCCTTGCAAGTAGCAGGGTCTGAATTTGAGCCCCAGGACACGTTCCCCAAAGAGCCAGGCATAGTAGTCGATGACTGTAGCCTCATCGACGGGGAGGCAGAGACCCCTGGAGCTCTCTGGCCAGGCAGCCCAGTGTGCTGCTGAGCTCCAGGCTGACTCAGAGACAAGGTGGACAGTGCGCCAGGAGTGACAGGTTGACAGTTGTACACACCTGTCCACATACACCACATACACAGAGACCAGCCATCGCGAAGTTAGTAGTTAGTAGTGGGATTTCCAGTTTCTTTGTTGTTGTTTTGAGACAAACTCTCACTACGTAGCCTGGATTAGACTGGAGCTCACTTTAATTCGCCTGCTTCCCCAGGCCTGGCTGGCTTTTTAATTGTTACTTGCTGGTATTTTGTAATTAAAGATTTATTTATTTATTTTTATTTATTTATTTATTTATGCTGTGTGTGTATTGCACGTGCAAGAATGCACATGTGTGTGCGTACAAACGTGTGCAGGTGCCTAGGGAAGCCTGAAGAGGGCATCAGGTCTTGTCCTTAAGAAAGAGCAAATTTCCTGAAGGGCAAGACACAAAGTTTTTACCAAGTACCGGAACCCATGTAGTCAGACTTTGTGGGCACAGGAACAGATCGCAGGGGCAGATTGCCAGTTTGCAGGGCAGGGCCGACCTTCTGGGACAGGACCCTCTTTTCTTCCAACTCCCAAGACTGCACTCGGCACCACGTCCTCTAGTATCCCCACCTTAAAGCCCTGGCCATGTTGTCTGTCCTCAGGTTCATTATCTACAGCGTCCCATTGCCCTGTGGTGTGGCCTCAACCATTCCTTGGTGCTGAGTCAGACCTCGGATTTCAGCAAGGAGCTGCTGGGGTGCGGCTGCGGGGCTGGAGGCCGCCTTCCTGGCTGGCCTAAGGGGAGTGCCTCCTTTGTCAAGCTACATATCAAGGTCAGAGCAGGGTCGGGCAAGCGGATGGACAGGGAGGGCAGAGTGGTAGAGCCAGGTGGCCCTCAGGACCATAGCCAGGTCTCAACTTCCCTTCTCTCAAAACAAATTTTAACATTTATTTGGGAGGGGTTATGCCACAATGTGCCTGTGGAGGGCAGAGGACAACTTGTGAAAGTTAGTTCTCTCCTTCCGTGATGTTGGTCACCAAGCTTGGCAGCAAGGTGAGCCATCTCCCTGGACTCCTTTTTCAAGGAGAATCTCACTGTGTAGCCCAGGCTGGTCTTAAAGGCTAGATTTTCCTGGCTCTCCTGTGTCACCATGCCCAGCTTGTACCTGGGACCCCTGCAAGGGACCCATTGGTTCCACGTCCCCTGGATCATGACACCTCCCTTTCTTGCCCCCCCCACTGCTCCCCGCTCACTCACTCTCTCCTTAGCTGACCCTGCTGGCTTTATCCAAGTTCACACAGTCCTGGAACAGAGCAAGCTGAGGCTCACTTGCTGGTTCAGGGCCTGTCTGAGGGATCCACATAGCATCAGGCTTAGGCAGCTTCCTGGAAGCCTGGCCCGCTAAGCCTCCCTCAGCCCCGCCCCTTCTCTCCTCTAAGGTCCCCTTGTGTGCCTGCTCCCTCTGCTCCACCAGAGAGTGTCTCTATATGCTGTCCAGCCACGACATCGAACAATGCCCCGTCTATCGAGACCTGCCAGCCAGCAGGGTGGGGGGAAGCCCTGAACCTAGCCAGGGGGCTGGAGCCCCTCAAGACCCTGGGGGAACAGCCCAGGCCTGTGAGGAGTACCTCAGCCAGATCCACAGTTGCCCCACGTTGCAGGACCGAATGGCGAAGATGAAGGAGATTGTGGGCTGGATGCCCTTGATGGCGGCCCAGAAAGATTTCTTCTGGGAGGCACTGGACATGCTGCAGAGGGCTGCTGGTGGGAGCGGCCCAGGCACCTCGAACCCTGAGAGCTGACCCTCCTCTAGCCTTTAGTCCTGAAGGAAATCGGGCCCTGGGCTAGGGGCTGAGGAGAGATGGAGAGGCAAACAACATTGTGTGTACATGGGAGCCGGGGTGGGGGTTGGGCTGGGTCGTGGGGAGTAGTGCTGGACATGTCAGGGTAGGGTAGGGGCTCTTTTTTAAATATTCAGGGGGCTGCCCAGGTGGGGCCCCAACCTGACTATCATGGACAAGAAATTTGATGGACAATAGAATAAAAGGCTAAAGGAAGGCCTGTTTTGAAACCCTGGGCCTTATGGGGGACAAGGGGGTTGGGATGGAGGGGGCCTTGGTTGGGGAGGAAGGGAGGGAGGGAGGCAGAAAGAGCCCAAGCTGTTGGTTTACTGAGCAATGCCAACACCCCAACTCACTCCAGAAAGCTCACTTCGTCTTTCTGATGGGGAAGTCGGGCCTGGTCTTGTGGAGTAACTCAAGTCAGTTTGGAACCTCCGCTGGGTCTGGAACCTTAACGCGAACCTGTTCATTTTGTTTGTGACAGCGCCTCACTGTGTGGCCCAGGCTGACCTCTTTAGCCATCCTGACTCCGTCTCCAGAGGGCTAGGATTGCAGGGGTGCTGCCTGTACACCTGGACTGGCCCGGGGGTCTAAGTGTGACCTCTACCCCGGGAAGCACCTCCCCCAGCCAGCCCCAGTCCTAGCAGTCAGCACCCTCTGTCTGTCTGTCTGTCTTTTCCCTTACTTTCTGCTCCGTCACCTCTCTGCCCAGGGAACGGCATACTCGATGCCTCCCTTAACCCTTCTCCAGTACTTAAAATAGTTGGAAGAGAAAGTAAGGGGTCAGGACTTTCTGTCCTTGGCCTTATCTGGTCCAGTGTTAAAGGGAAAGCCATAAGCATGTGCAGAAGATCCTGGGTAACGGGTGCAGGCCTGTAATCCCAGCACTTGGGAAGCTGAGGCAGGAGGATTGAAAGTTCCAGCTAGCCAGGACTTCATGGCAAGACTGTCTCAAGCAACAACAACAACTATCTAGAAATGTGCAGTGGGACAGTGGATGCTGGCCAAGAGACTCAAGAAGGACATCCTCTCTGATGCCGGGAGAAACGCAGGGGAAGAGGTCCAGTCTGCACCTGAAAGTCTACAGGAAAGACCAGGTTCTCAGGCACAGGACAGAGCGGAGTCGCCGATGACATCATTGGATGTAGACGATGTTCTTTCTGCCTCTTGTAGCTCCCAGCATCCTTTAGTCAATCAATACATGTCCAAGACATAGAGAGGCCCCTGCAGGGACTCACCACTGTCCCAGCTGTCTCCCTGTCCCGCCTCCCCTGCCGCCCGCCCAGTTGGCCAGTCCCCACGCCCACACACCCAGGACTGCCTCATCTGGTACTGATTATCCTGCTGCTGCTGCTGTTGCTGCTGTTGCTGCTGCTGCTGTTGCTGCTGCTGCTGAACTCAGCTGCTGCTTCCAGCACCCCCCCTACACAATGCTGCCTGCTGCCCTAACCTCCCTCCTGGGGCCATTCCTTGTGGCCTGGGTACTGCCTCTTGCCCGGGGCCAGAACCCCAACTACACGAGGTAGGTCTCATGTCTTCCAGATGGCGTCCAGAGGGAGCTTCAAAATGCTTGTGACTCTGGGAGGGCTGTGCCTTTAGGTCCTGTGAGCTCTTCTGCTAGCAACCCCTCCACATTCCCGGTCTCCCTCTGAGATTCATACTCTCCCTGTCTGCTGCGAAGCCATGATGCTCTGCAGACCACCACTGTCCCACTACCTCACTACCGTTCTTCCGCCCTAAGTCTGCCTTCCTTCCACCCGGAGCCATGCCTCTGCATGGAGTTTGAACCCAGAAAGCCAAGACCTTGAACTTGTCTCTTAGCTGACATTCAGGAGATGAGACTGGGGGAAGGGCAGCACGCAGAAGTCAGATACTAGTCCTTAGCTGGGACTGGAGCAGGGCAAAGGTGGGGACCCCTAACGTATGTCCACTGCCGCTCCCCTCAGCTCTCTGGCCCCCTCCCCCTCGTGGCCTCATGGCTTGTCACATCTGGAAGTAGTTAGGCGCGGCTCCTGTCCTTGACTGCCAGGCAGGGCAAGGAGGGGGGCAGAGAAAGCTAGGGGGACTGAGGAGGATTCCGGGAATTCCTGCCGGCGTAGGGGTGGAGGCTCCAGGGGCTGGAGAGATGGTCCCGTTGCCTGGCCCCCTTCCCTGGTCCTTGGGCAGGAGTCCCTGCCCCACAGGCCGAGGCCTTTCCAGCATCAGCCTCCTTTATTGCCCGGGGCTTCACATCCTCAAACCATCTCTCCAGGGGCTCTGTTCTGCCTGACACCTCTTCTGTCCTCCAGACCTGTGTTCCTGTGTGGAGGGGACGTGACGGGAGAGTCGGGTTACGTGGCAAGTGAGGGTTTCCCCAACCTCTACCCCCCAAATAAGAAGTGCATCTGGACAATAACGGTGAGAAGGCCCCTCCAGTCATCATTGCCTTTCAACAGTTTCTCTAACAAAACCCTGACGGCGCAGGTTACCCTCCCCACCACCAGGCATCACCGAAATCTGCAAAACCCTCCTCTCCCCTTTGGATGTCAGGCTCCATAGTGACATGCTCTGACATATCCTAACCTCCCTACCCCTTTGTTCTCCCCCACTACTGGAAATGGAACCCTGGACTTAGCATGCTGGGCCAGAACTCTACCACTAAGGTACATCCCAGCCATATATATATATTAAATATAATTTTTTTTTTTTGGTTTTTCAAGACAGGATTTCTCTGTGTAGCTTTGGTGCCTGTCCTGGATCTCGATTTGTAGCCCAGGCTGGCCACAAACTCACAGAGATCCGCCTGGCTCTGCCTTCCGAGTGCTGGGATTAAAGGTGTGCGCCACCACCACCCGGCCATCCCAGCCATTTATTCATTTAGGTTTTTTTTCTTTGTGTGTGTGTGTGTGTGTGTGTGTGTGTGTGTGTGTGTGTGTGTACACTCATACATGCATGTGCACAGAGGTCGGAGTGGTATGTTGGGTGTTCTAGAGTTCTACCCCTCTCCGCCCTGTTTCCTTGAGACAGAGTCTCTACATCTAGAGCCAGCCTGAGGTCATCGAGCCCCAGTGATGCGCCTGCCTCTGCCCCCCACAGGGCTGGGTTCCAGCCACACCTGTGGAGACTTTTAACCGTGGCCTTTCAAAAGGGTTCTGGGGACTTGAACTTGAGCCAGCACTGTACCCACTGAGCCGTCTCCCCAGACCCCTTTACCTTTTATTTTTGAAACAGGGTCTCTGTAAATTATGGCCCTCCTGCCTCGGTTTCCCAAATGCTGGGCTCACGGACATGCACTCACGGTGCTGAGCCTTGATTCTTTGTTTCTGGAGACAGCCTCACTGTGTAGGTTAGGCTGGTCTTGCCTGAACTTTGAGGCAGTCTGGGATCACAGGTGTGAGCTGCCATACCTAGCTTGAGCCTTCGTGGGTTTGGTTTTGTTTTCTTATGGTAATGAATCCTGTTCTTTCCCTCCAGAGACCAGAGGCAGGGAGTGGAGCCCAGGCCCTCTGTGTTGCACTGGCCAGGGGCCTTTCCAGTTACGACTATTTCTCTAGGAAGTACTTGGGGGAGGGGGTGATGCCCACTGTTAGGGTTGTTTGGGGCCTGATTTTTGTGGGTGCCTCTTTTGTCAGGTGCCTGAGGGCCAGACTGTGTCCCTGTCCTTCCGAGTCTTCGATATGGAGCTCCACCCTTCCTGCCGCTATGATGCTCTGGAGGTCTTTGCTGGATCTGGGACCTCAGGCCAGCGGCTTGGACGCTTCTGTGGCACCTTCCGGCCTGCACCTGTAGTCGCTCCTGGCAACCAGGTGACTTTAAGGATGACAACGGACGAGGGCACTGGGGGACGAGGCTTCCTGCTCTGGTACAGCGGTCGGGCCACCTCAGGCACTGGTGAGCATCCTCACCTCCTCTTTTCCCTCTCCAGGCCCCACCCCGGTTCAGGTCCCCACCCCTGCCCTAACCTCGACCCTCCCCAGATTACTCCCAAGAGTTAGGGCCACCAATACTCCCTTCTTCCCACTAACCGCCCCTTCAGTCCCTCCTCCTGGTCTTCTCTCCCCCTCCCGCTCCCACCTACCCCTCTTCCAGGGCCTCCCCCAGGTGCGAGGCGGAAATGGGTCATGGACCCGCGGGTGGAATGGGCGGCCTGGGGTTACTGGGACGGTGAGTAACTGCCCACCCCCTCCGCAATCGGGCTCCTCTGACAGGAGTAAGGGGGCACCCTGAAGCGGGGGGACTCGGATTCCCTCATCTGGAGCCCCCTGTACCCGGCTCTGGGGTCCCGATTGCGGTCCCATCACGCCCTCCCAGCAGCACGAAGTCCTCTGGACGGTTTCAGGCAGAGACCTCATCAGAGGGGAGGCCCCTCACAACCTGAGAGCTCTCGAGCCTGTTAGGAGGTCTTCTGCTGGCCGGGACGGAGAGATGGGATCTCCTAGGGGAAGAGGCGTGGTGTGGCGGCGGCGGGTCGGGGAGGGGCCAGAGGGGTCCATTCAAACTTTTCCTCTCTGTGGGGCGCCCCAGCCCCGTCTTCCCAGCTGTCGGCTGACCCGCCCTCTCTACTGTTCCCCTTCCCGTGCCCTCATCTGGAGACCCACGCCAGCCCCCAGTCTAGAGCTCTCTACTCCAGCTGACTGAGGGTCTCCACCGCCCCCCACCCGGTCCCTCTCTCCCCTCCTCAGAGCACCAGTTTTGCGGGGGGCGGATGGAGAAGGCGCAGGGAACCCTGACCACGCCCAACTGGCCTGAGTCGGATTACCCCCCAGGCATCAGCTGTTCCTGGCACATCATCGCACCCTCTAACCAGGTACTGACCTGCTTGCCGAGGCTGCCCACCAGGCACCCAGGCAGCATCCTTAAAGCAGCCAGCCAGCAACATTTTATTGAACATCTGTGTCCTGATCCCTGAGCTTGCCCTGGAAGAGACCAAAACCAGACCCAGACCAGCTTACACGCAAGCCAAAATGGCAGACGGGCACTACTGGCCTTAGGGGAGGGAAGTTCCGGGTCCTGGTAGGAACTATGTGTGGAACTCATGGGGCGGAAGGAGTTCTGTCCATCGGGGGCTAAGATGCACTGGACCTTGCCCACCAGGGCAAAGGATGCTCCCTGTGGGGTATAGACACGTGTGTGTATGACCCTCAGGCTGGCAGTGAAACCATTAAAGAGAGAACAAGGGTACTTACTGTTGGGACTACTACCAAGTATACTAGGGCTGAAGAGGGCGGGGCACTACTCCTCCACCTTGGCCTGTTGCTAGGCAGCCAATGCCTCTCCCAGGTGATCATGCTAACCTTCGGGAAGTTTGATGTGGAGCCCGACACCTACTGCCGCTATGACTCTGTCAGCGTGTTCAACGGCGCTGTGAGCGATGACGCCAAGAGGCTGGGGAAATTCTGCGGAGACAAGGCCCCCAGGTGAGGGATGGATCCTTGGCTGGGCAGTGGTGGGGCTAACTCCTCATCCCTGTGTGAAGGGTTGCCAAAGGCCGTGCAGGGTTCAGGGAGGCTCAGCTGACCAGGCGAGATCTGAGCTCTAGGATTCCAAGCCATTGGTCTGAACAAGTGTAGGAGCTGGCGAAGGTTTAGTGGATCTCCCGAGTCTACAGAGTCTGATGTCAGAGGACTAGTTTAAGGCTGGCCACGGGGACAGAACAGGGTGCGCAGTCTGCCCTGACGTCTCAGCCGGTCCTCTCCTGCCCTCGGCAGCCCCATCTCTTCTGAAGGGAATGAGCTCTTGGTCCAGTTTGTATCGGATCTCAGTGTCACCGCAGATGGCTTCTCAGCGTCCTACAAGACCCTGCCACGGGATGCCGTGGAAAAGGAGCCCGCCCCAAGCCAAAGGGAGGATGTGCAGCATGGTCCCCAATCCCGCTCTGACCCAAAGACAGGAACTGGGCCCAAAGTCAAGCCACCCAGCAAATCTAAACCCCAACCTGCAGAGAAACCAGAGGCCTCCCCTGATACCCAGGAGACGCCAGTGGTCCCGGGTGAGTGTGAAAAGTCAGAAGGTGGTAATGGAGAGATGGCCCAGTGGATAAGAGCACTGGCTGCTCTTCCAGAGGACCCGGGTTTGATTCCCAGCACCCACATGGCAGCTCACAACCATCAGTAACTCCAGACGTACATGCAGGCAAAACTCCCATACACATAAAAGAAAAAGAAAAAGTGGAAGATGGAGCATAGACTAAAGGAAGCACTAAGTTCTTCCTTGGTTCAGCATTCATTCATGCATGCATGCATGCATGCATGCATGCATGCATCCATCCATTCATCCATTCAACATTCACTGGTGCCTGCCTCCTGTCAGTGTCTGCAACAGTGCTGGGAAGCAATGCTGGGCAGAGCTCCGAGTTTCCATCTATATGGCTGTTACAATTTCAGATGGGACTAGCTAGGGCAGGCTTCGCCTAGAACCTCCCAGTGAGGGCTGAAGGCATGGCTCAGTGGTAGATCTTTTCTAAAATTCTCACAATAAGGGGTGGGAAGTTCAGCTCAGCTGTAGAATGTCTGTCCCAGAATCCTCTAGGAAGGATCTGGGGTGTGACTTAGAGGCAAGGTGCTTGCCTAGAATCCCCCAGTGAGATCCACAGGGTGTGGCTGTGCTGTGGAGTACCTGCCCAGCATCACCAGACTCCGGCCCTCCTCCCCGCACTGCAAACAAAGGAATGAATAAACGGCTGATGTGAGGCCAACGGTCCTGCCTGCCCTCCACAACAGCACTGTCTTTCCTAGATGCACCCAGCGTCACCTGTCCAAAGCAGTACAAGCGGCTAGGCACCCTGCAGAGCAACATGTGTACCAGCAGTCTGGGTAAGACGCTCCACCCTGCCCTCTGCTCCTCATGCCCTCCTCATGCCCTCCTCCAAGCCCAGCCCTAGCCCCGGGACTCTTACCTCTCACCCCCATCCTTGCACAGTGGTGACCGGAACAGTGAAGACCATGGTCCGAGGCCCAGGCGAGGGTCTCACTGTCACCATCAGCCTCATTGGTGTTTACAAAAGCGGAGGACTGCACCTGCCCTCTCCGCCCAGGGACACCCCTCTGAAGCTCTATGTGCCCTGCAAGCAGATGCCCCCCATGAAGAAGGGTAAGGGCCTGGGAAACGGGGATGGGTACTGAGCACACCGTAGTCGCGAAGGTGGAAGATCTGATGAGAAGAAGGTGTCGCAAGGTCTTGATAACTTGAGCTCTCC